AAAAATTTGTTAATAACTTGTGATTTTTTGGTCATAATCGGATACACCTAGTGCTTATGCTTTTAGCCTTATTCTTAACTTCATTACTCAATATCTCAAAAACTATGCATCGTAGAGTATTTTAACTTGTTGCATCGTGTTCAGCGCGTAATTTTACGTCCAGAAAACCATATTTGAAGCATTTTTACGACTTAAGGTAAATTGACTATTTTTACGATTTTACACCGCTCACCTACAAAAACTCAAAAAATTTAAAATTTTTGAAACTTGACCCAATGGCGTTTTATGCACTTATTTGAGTCTTTAAGACCTCTAGAAATATAAAAAACGTTAAATGGATCAATTTTAAAGTTAAGTTTTTTTTTATTTTTGTCGAGATTTTGGTCGATTTTTGGCACCCGGAGCGGTCTTTTGCCAATAACTCCGGACTTATTGGTTGGAAAGCAAATTTAATTTTCTATCATATACAAAAAGGATCAGTGTTCTACAATAAATAGTTTTCGAGAAAATTTCTAATAAATAAAATATCAATAATATATATTCGACTATAGCTTCAAAACTATTATGAATTTTGCATTTGTCTTGACGCCAATCGATTCACCGGAACATTTTACATATGTTTACGTCAAAATATTATAACACACCACCTCCCCCCCTCCCTAAAACAATTGTGTTTTTGAACACGTCTCAGATTCTTATCCAATAAATTTTAAAAAATTTGTCGGACTTTTTGCTCTAGTTTTAGTTGAAAATTTTGATTATTTTTAATCTTGTTAACAAATTTTTAGTACTTTTTCGGGTCTTTGAAACTATTGAGATTTTAAGTTTACTTAAGTTTTTGTATTGTTTCACTTTCACCTTGTTTTAGTTTACTTTGTGTTTTACTTCTTTTTTTTGTCAATTTGTGATAAATTATTATTTTATTCTTGTGCATCGACTCTCATTGAAGTAAACGAACCTCTTTAGAAATAAATTTAATTGAATTTGCAAATGAAAACTTTTCTCTTGAAAACATAAAAGCCTCCTCTTGAAATCAAATTCCCCGTTATCCATTTTACGACAAACGTCATAACTCCTTTCTTCTTTCCATTCAACGCGTAGATCCATCGAATCATCATTAAATTAAATTACCTGAAATCGCGCCTGAAATTTATTGATGACATTTCAACTACAGTTTTACATTTTTTACAAAAATTCTAGCGCTTTTTTTCAAAAGCAACGATTTATGTCCTTTCTTGTCCAGTTGCAGAGTCTTTTAACCTTTTCAAAATAAAACTAGATTCGGATGATTAACACCGGATCGAAAAAATATTCCCTCTAGATTACCGGACTCTTCCTCGTAACGGTGCTTGCGAGTTTATTGCAAGGAAGAACACTTATGGAGACTGAAACGATTAAAAGAATCTCAGCTTCATCTTGACCGGAAGATACGTCCATCTGGGACGTGACGGACGCCTAGGACAGGGACGGATTTGGACGATTTTGCAACTAGTAGTACCAATTACATGGTGTTTGTAAAAACATCGTAAAAAATTAACAAGGAACGCTACTAAAATGCCGCCGAAATTTATCGCTGACACATTTTTATTGGGCTATAACTTTGCTAAATGCCATTTTATTCCCAATGAATTATTTATTAGATTAGATTAAACTGTAGCACTGGTAGAAAAAACAAGACGCGTGTACTAATTAGTTGGGACTTATCGGGCATCCCTGTAGTACAAATTGGCCTAAAATTTCACCAAAACGATGATTTATGATAAAATTCAACGTGGGTGCATGGGATTACAGTTAGTTCATTATGGATTTATGTTTGAATAATTTAATTGGCCAGCTGGTACACATTTCGATTAGTCGCTAACCTAATAAAAAGTCAGTGTGAACATTCACTTCAGCCATCAGTCATCATGTCTGACACTCTTCCCATAAATAATCGACTCGGTTAAAAACTAACCAGTTTTGACGTAAGCAATTATGGTGATGTTTACTCGTTTCTTGAAAAAGTCGGTACGACATTGTGTTTTGTCGAGTTGTCGACCAGTTTGTATTAATTAGTCGGTGGAAAATTGTTTACGTTTTATTAGAGGAGATGGAGATGTTGCCGCCAATTATCAATTTTCACTTTGCGGATAATTGCTCAATTAAAAATTGTGGTTTATCGGAGATGGCGCCGCTACCGAACCCAAAGACGCTTTTTTTTCGACGAGTATATTATTAGGCATGGGAGGACTGGAAGTGAAAAAAGTAACGACTTTCAGTGCTTTTTTATGAGGATTTAAGCCACAACAAAATTACTTCTCTTTTTTGCAAGTTATAAATTCATTTCACACAAAAAAGTTCAAAAGCTTCAAATCAGTTATTAGGTTTTACCTGTTGCTTAGTTGGTTAATTTTGCGAAATTCTTGACAAGAGAAAAATGAAAAAATGTTTGAGCCCAAATTTGAATTCGGTTCGAATTATTCATTTCATAACTAATAAAAATTTCAATTTTTTGGCGTTGTTTTTGCGTTTTTTAAACTTCAATAGTGCGCTTGTCTACGAATATTTTATAATTTTCAATTTAATTAATTAATTTTTTGTCTCTCATAAAATGTATTTATAAAAATTTGCTTAGTTTTTAGAATGGAAACTACTTAAATTCGATTTTCAGACTGACTTTCAGTGCTTTTTATGAGGATTTAAAATTCAAATCCAAAAAAACCAAAAAAATGGCTTTTTTAAACACGAATTTATTAACTAATTTGATAAATTGTATTTTTTGCAAGTTATAAATTTTGTTTTCATACAAAAAAGTTCAAAACTTCAAATCGCTTATTTCAACTTATTTTTCAGCTTGCAAACTACTTATTTTTAGTGTTTTCTGATAATTAAAGCCTAGGTTTTACCTGTTGCTTAGTTAGTTAATTTTAAGAAAATCTTGACAAGAAAAAATTGAAAAAAATGTTGAGCTCAAATTTGAATTCGGTTTGAATTATTCATTTCATAACTAATAAAAATTTCAATTTTTCGGCGTTTTTTAAACTTCAATAGTAGACTTGTCCACTATTATTTTATAATTTTCAATTTAATTAATTAATTTTTTCTCACTGAAATTTCTGTATTGGTAGTGGCAAAATCTCTTATTTAAAACTTAATTGCAATTTGTATTTAGACACAAAAAACAAAATGTATTTAAAAAATTAATATGTTAATTTTGCTTAGTTTTCAGAATGGAGACTACTTAAATTAGATTTTCAGACCGAAAATGGAAAAAGTAACAACTTTCAGTGTTTTTAAAAACCAAAAAATCTAACAAAATGGCTTTCGTTAAACACGAATTTATGAAATAATTTAATAAATTGTATTTTTTTGCAAGTTATAAATTTAGTTTTCACACAAAAAAGTTTAAAAGCTTCAAATTTCAGCTTATTTTTCAACTTGGAAACAATTTTTTTTCTACCAAATAAACCCTAAATATGTTTTTATATGTATTTGAAAACTCGGTGTTTTGTAATAATTAAAATCTAGGTTTTATCTGTTGGTTAATTTTAATTTTGAGAAAATCTTGACAAGAAAAAAAATTAAAAAACTGTTGTTGTTTTGTGCCAAAATTTGACTTCTGTTTAAATTGTTTACTTCATAATTAATAAAAATTTTCAATTTTTCTGCATGTTTTTGTGTTTTTTATTTATTATTATTTATAATTATATTATATTTATATTTATATTTATTATTATTTTTATTTAGTAGTATTATTATTAGTACCGTTTGACTACGATTATTTTATAATTATCATTTTAATAAATTTTAAATTTTTGATACTGAAATTTTTGTTTTGGTAGTAACACAATCTTTCATCTAAACCTGAATTTGCAAATTTTAAATGATAAAATCTTGTTTTGGACAAAAATACTTAAAATGTATTTTTTTGAGCATAAAAACTATAGGTACGTAAAAACTGGAAATGGGAAAAGTAACGACTTTCAATGCTTTTTTTTTATGAGGATTTAAACCTTAAAGCTACAAAATCTAACAAAATTGCTTTTTGGCAAATAGCTTATGTTTCAGCTTGAAAAGTGCTTATTTGTACCAAATAAATTCTAATTATATTTTTTATGTATCTGAAAGGTCAGTGTTTTCTAATAATTACAAAGTAGGTTTTCCTTTGATCAATTTTAACGGTGAGAAAATCTTGACAAGAAAAAATCTTTTATTCTGTATTGTCCAAAATTTTGATGTTCCTAATATTTAGTTAATAAATAATAAAAATTTCAATGTTTTTTGTTGTTTTTGTGTTTTTTAAACTTCACTATTACGTTTGTTCACAAATATTTTATGATTTTCAATTTAATAAGTTTTAATTTTTTGCCACTGAAATTTCCGTTTTGTTAGTGGTAAAATCTTTCATTAAACCTAAATTTGAAAAATTATTTGTAAGTTTTAAAATTTATTTTTAGACAAAAAAATCAAAATGTGTTTAAAACAATCTTAACTTATTTTTCAGCAGCATGAAAACTACTTAGATTAGATTTTCAGATATATCTGAAAGCTCATTGTTTTCTTTTGTTTCAAAATTATACTAGGTTTAGTAAAATTAAACAAATTATCAAATGTTATAACTTTTCTGCGTTATTTGTTCATGAAAATTTTAGAATTTTTAATTAAATTTGACACTTCCTGGAATTTTCGTTTTGATAATGTTTGCGAATTTTTTTGTAAATTCCAGAAACTGTTTTTACACCATTTTTATTCAATAAAAATCGAAAAATCAATGTTATTTCACCTTATGTTTCAGCATAGAACTTACCTATTCTTATTTCTCATCATGTAAAAGAAAAAGACAAGAAGAGAAAAAGATTGCAACATTGACCGGTAACTGATGTGAAAGCTTTATAAATTAAATGTATTCTTCAATAAATAAATATTTTTGTTTTTATATCTTTTTTGTTTGCCTACGATTTTTTATTTTTACGTTTGTTATTTGCATTTTGTTTTGAGGGGAGGAGAATTTAAAAAAGTTGTAAAACATCAAATTTATTAAAAATATTGCACTTACTGAGATACACATTTGGTAAAAAGTATAATACAAAAGGAACATAAAACGCTCATATAATTTACACTATCGTACATAATTACAAGATAAAATCTAAATAAAAACAAAAACTGAGAGAACAAGAAGGAACAAGTAAATAAATAAAACTATGAAAAAAAAATAACAAACCAAAATATTGCACTACAAAATCCTCCTTAATACTGGGTGCTTAAATAAAATAAACCATAATTGCACAAATCCCTTCAACCGTCACTTTCGCACTCTTAAAATTATTTACACGCGTATCACAAACTCCGTCCTTCATTCAACCACTAAACTACAATTAAAAATATCGACATAAAATATTGCACGTCTTGATATTCTTAATATCTAATATTGCACGTTGTAGGCAAATCCCGAGCCCGTTTTCGGACAAGTTTCGTCCTTCCCTAACTAAATAAATAAATAAATAACAAACCAGTATCACATTTAGTCCCTTTGAAGGAGTTCGTGAAGGGCGGCGATGTACGTCTGCGCCATTTGAAGGGTTTCAAATTTCGAGAGTTTTCGATCGTTCCCGAGGGAGGGCACCACGTCCCGGAGGCGGTCGAAGGCATCATTGAGACTGTTCATCCTCCGCCGCTCCCTTGCATTAGCCGCGAGTCGCCTCTTCTTCATCACTTCAAGCCCAGCTTGGGAGGAAGTCCCTTTTTTGGCCTCCTTCTTGTACTTGCTGCAGCTGTAGGAAGTCTTGTAGAACTCCTGGCTTCCATAGGGGTTGTGATCGGGTCTGTATCCATCGTAGAGGTTGTTGTTCTCGCCGTAGTGGCCCCAGGAGGAGTCCTGCTTGTAGTAGTTGGGGGTGTAGGGCTGCGAGGACATCCCCGGGTCCGAGGAGATCGACATGGGGCTGGAAAGGGTTAGGGTGTAGTGGCTGTCGGGGGAGGACACCCGCGGGGAGAGACACCCGTCCGAGGAGGCTTCGTGGCGGTAGTAGTCGAACATTGTTGTTCTTCCATCACATGCCACTCACTGTTCCGGTTCTTAAGTGGTTCACTCGCGCGTGCTACGACTGGAGGCTGCCAACGACTCGCAACGGACTGGAGATGACGAGCGTGTGCGAGGTGTTAAATCAAAGAAGTGGTAGCACGTCTTTGCCTTGCCATTGCCACTGAGAGAGGTGACGCGGCGCCATTGGATGGGTTTCGGAGATGATGGACCAGAAGGTGGTTCCCCAACCAGGAAAAAATACCATTTTTGCATTTTAAATTATTCTTCTTGCTAAATGGTTGTTTGCATTGAACCCGGGCCGCCCGCGTGGAAGGCGAGCACTGAACCACCGATGATGTTGGTGATGCTTGAACCAGATTGCGAAGAATGTACCATCAGTATTATTTCGACAAAATTAAGTATTTCTAACGACACTAGATGTCTAAATAAAGTATAAACATTTGAGAACCCAATTTTAGAAGATTGGTACCGATATTAGCACAAAATGTTGCTACAAGTACTCTTTGAAAAATTAATTCAAAATGTGTGATTGTCCTAATTTAAAAAAATTTCAGATTTTGAAATTTTTGGAATCTACTATAAAACAGTTTTTGTAAGTTTTTTTTTAATCGTTTCCCAGTCAAAAATCATTAAAAAGATGATGATAAAAACGTTAATTCTCTTCAAAAAAGTCAGTGGTATTTACTTCATTTGTATTTTGGAATGTTGAAAAAAAGCTTTCTTGGGTCCGTGTTTTAGAACTCTCAAATACCAGAAGTTGTGTGAATTATTTCTTCAGTGATAGATTAAAACGTTAAAATAATCTCAAAATTGCCAAGTTTGTCATTTTTACGGGATTAAATACTTAACAATAGGTGACTAAAAATGGTTCACAAACGCAAATTTGCTAAGCGCACAAAAAGAGTGCTAAATTTACAAATACATCAATTGCTTGAAAAACCATGATAGAATAGAATAAATTGTCTATAGCAGTCTTTTTTTTTGGAAAAGTCTTGCATCGATGCTGTTGGTGGTGCTTGGACCAGATTGCGAAGAATGTACCATCAGTGTTAACAAATTTCAATCCACTCGATCAATATTTCGACAAAATTAAGTTTTTCCCAATTTTAGAAGATCGATATTGGCAAAAAATATTGTTTATTTTATGACAATTCTTTGAAAAATTAATTCAAAATGTGCGATTGTCCTAATTTTGTAGGAAAATTTATTTCAAAATTATTTATCTTCAAAAATTTCTAAATTTTGAAACTTTTGGAATCTACAATAAAACAATTTTTGTAATTTTTATGTAAAATCCAAATCAAAAAAAACTGTTTGTTGTTATAGACAAGTAGAAATTAAATTTTTTTATTGTAATCCACTTTAGTTTAATTATTTCCGAGTCAAAAATCATTAAAAAGATCAAAAAAATCTATAGTATTTACTTCATTTGCATTGTTTTAGTAAGTTGAAAAAAGGCTTTCTTGGGTCCGTATTTTAGAACCTTCAAATACCAGAAATTGTTTAAATTATCTCTTCAAGATAGATAATTTAGGAAAATTTATATTTGCCCAATGCCAAAATTACAACTATAAAAATCTTCATATTTTGAAATTTTTGGAATCTACTATAAAATGGTTTTTGTAAGTTTTATGTAAAATCCAAAAAAACTGTTTGTTATTATATATATATTGATTCTCTTCAAAAAAGTCAGTGGTATTTACTGACTGTGATTGCGCTAAATTTGTAAGAAAATTTATAATTGCTCAATGCCAAAATCACATCCTCAAAAATTGTCAGATTTTGAAATTTTTGAAAGTATAAAATTTTGCGAGTATAAAACAGTTTTTGTAAGTTTTATGTAAAATCCATATCAAGAAAAACTGTTTGTCGTTATAGATAAGTAGAAATTTTAAAAAATATATTGTAATCCAGTTAAGTTCAATCAATTTCCACTCAAAAATCATTAAAAATATGATAAGAACGTTAATTTTGTTCAAAAAAGTCATTTGCATTGTTTTAGAAAGTTGAAAAAAGGCTTTCTTGGGTCAGTATTTTAGAACTCTCAAATACCAGAAATTGTTTGAATTATCTCTTCAAAAAAGATTAGAACGTTAAAACAATCTCAAAATTGCCAATTTTATAATTTGTACCAGATTAAATAGTTAAAAATGGTTCACAAACGCAAATTTGCTAAGCGCACAAAAAAAGTGATAAATTTACAAATACATCAATTGCTTGAATAATTGTTTATGATAGTTTTTTGGTCTAAAAAACTTGCATCGGCCGGGAATCGAACCCGGGCCGCCCGCGTGGCAGGCGAGCATTCTACCACTGAACCACCGATGCTGTTGGTGATGCTGCAGCGCATCTTTGAACCAGATTTCCAGGTATGTACCAGCAGATTTTACGGATTTCAGTCCATTCGATCATATTTCGACAAAATTCAGTATTTCTAACGACACTAGATGTCTAAATCAAGTATAAACATTTGAAACCTCAATTTTAGAAGATTGGTACAGATATTTGCAAAATCCTGACAACTCTTTAAAAAAATTAATTCAAAATGTGCGATTGCGCTAATTTTGTAGGAAAATTTCTAATTGCTCAATGCCAAAATTACATCTTACAAATTTTCAGATTTTAAAATTTTTGGAATCTTCTATAAAACAGTTTTTGTAAATTTTATGTAAAATCCACATTAAAAAAAACTGTTTGTAGTTATAGATAAGTAATTTTTTTTTAAATATATTGTAATCCACTTACGGTTAATTGTTTCACAGTCCAAAATCATTAAAAAAATGATAAAAATGTTCATTTTATACAAAAAAAAAATGGTATTTACTTCATTTGAATTATTTTAGAAAATTGAAAAGAGGCTTTCTTGGGTGAGTATTTTAGGACTCTCAAATACCAGAAATTGTTTGAATTATCTCTCCAAGATAGATTAAAACGTTAAAATAATTTCAAAATTGCCTATTTTATCATTTTTCCGAGATCAAAAAGTCAAAAATGGGTGGCTAAAAATGGTTCATAAATGCAAAAATGAATGCTAAATTTACAAATACATGAATTCTGGTGATTGTTTGAGAAACCATGATGGAATAAATTGTCTTTGATAGTTTTTTTTGTAAAAATGTTTGCATCGGCCGGGAATCGAACCCGGGCCGCCCGCGTGGCAGGCGAGCATTCTACCACTGAACCACCGATGCTGTTGGTGATGGTACAGCGCATCTTTGAACCACGTTGTGATGTATGAACCATTAGTTTTAGCGAATTTTAGCCCACTCTATAAATATTTGAATAAAAACAAGTTGTTCTAACGATACTAGATGTCCAAAAAAGGTTTTATGTTGTGTACTTTATTGCTGTAACAGCACACACTTGAGTTGTAAGTAGATAAACATTTGAAAACCCAATATAATTTTTTGAAGATTGGTAGCGGTATTATGGTCGATAAGAGTGAAATGTCCAACATAAGAAAATACATGTTTCAGAAAATACTTCAACATTGTATAACGAGCAATTTTTTGAAAATTTCATCCAAAATAAACAGTCAAATGTTAAATTCGTAAAAAACGGTGTATTTAAGAGTTGAAATTATAATTCCGGAAATTTTCATGATGATTTTCTTTGTTTCGCAAATTTTTAAAACAGTTTCAATAAGTTAGGTATAAAATTTTTATAGGAAAAAAACTGTAATAATAATGAGTAGAAACTTTAAATATATATTCTAATAAAAGCTTTTCTGTGTTTATGTAGATTAAAAATCATAAAAAAGTAAAAAATTTTAAAATAAAAATGATAAAAAAACAAACATTTTTCAGCAATTTGAAGAAGGTGATGATGATAATTTATTTTTGTTATTTTCATCTACCATTTTCTTTTCTTAATTTTAATTTATACATTCTTTCTGTTTCTAGAACTTTCTGACTTCTTCACGTTTCTCGTTTTTCAAATTGATTTCTTTTTTTTTTCTTATTCATATAATTGTTTTATTTTCTTTAATTTTATCACTCATTTTTTCAGTTTCTTATGTTGTTTCCGTTCCAATTTCTTTTTGTACTTTGTATTTTTCTTCTAATGCGTTTTTTTTCTGTTGGTTTTGTTATTTAATGTTTTAGTAAATTCTGCCCTTTTGTTTTATACATCTGAACATTTTTTTCGTTCCTTCGAACGTTCTTCCTCCCATTTCCTTTTTTCTACCTAGGAAAGTTATTTTATTTTCATTATTTTGAAAAGTTAAAATCGCAAAATAGTATATTATGTCATTAAAACTAAACGTAATCAGATCGAGAGTAAAAAGCAACACTATAATTAGCAAGTAAATGAACAAAATAATCAGGAAGTATTGCAAGTTTTGAAATCATAACAACGCGTATAAACAAAACATCACGTGTCAATATTAAAATTAGTGTTAATATTTTGAAAAGTGCTTATTAATTTAACTAGTGCAGTTAGTAGTGTAATGTACCTCTCCAGAAATTGCTGAAGCAGCGATAAAGACAACATTGATTTAAATGTCATATACTTTGTAAAAGTAAAAACCCTTAGGCGCAAAAACGTCATTTTCAGAACTAAAGACAAGGTTTATTACTTGTAATATATTTGTTTTAGTGGCATTACGAGCGTTTTTCTGCTCTAGAAACGTCATTTTTCCAGTCCCATTCAATTACAAAGCTCGTCATGATCTCGCGCTAATTCCTCAAGAGCGTCGAATTTCGTTGTCCTTTAGTGGAAGATTCTGTAGAGCATCTCTGAGACCTCAGTTTGATATTAATTTCTCAGCAACATCTGTTCTAACCTCAATGTTAATTAAAATAATCGATCCATTTACGTAGCCGCTCCGTAACGGTACACTTTTCTACAGAAAACAATTAAACCATACTTCGATTTTAAAACATATGTCGTCCGATTTTATTGCAGGGATTAATAAATTCGGAAAAACAGGAACATTTTACGACCGTGATAAAAACTCGGCGGTCCATATGTTTGATTTTTAATAATAATCATCGGAGACAAATTTGACAAACATGATGGTGGATTAGAGGAATGCGAAATTAACACTTCAACGGGTGACACTGGCGGTGATAAAAATTTTCGCTGATTTTTTAACGGT